GGGGGGGGATGAGGGGTTTCGGGTGCAGGCTGCCCTGAGGCTACAGTGGGGAGAGAGGACTCCTCCCAGCTCTCCCCCTCAGCCCAGGTGCTGTTGCGGGGAGGGAGGGGTGGCTCTCCCTGCTGGGGTCAGGGGAGGGGCGCCTCTCCCACGGCCATGGCAGGCCCGAGCTGGGTTGGGTCTGGGTCTGGGGAGAGGTATCTCTCCCCTCTGGAGCCCTGAGTGCCTGTGCGGTGCTTAAGTATTTGGTTTATTGTAATACTTTAATATAAATTTATAAACCTAAGTTTGGCTGTAATGCAAAAAACCTACAGGCTATATCCTGTGTGTTAAGCTAAGGGAAAGTTAGCATATTTAAATTAAAACCTAATAAACTAAGAATAAAACTTAGGGAAACCAAGCTTAGCCTAGTTCCCTTGAAACTTAAAGCTTAAGAAGAACAAGTATAGCCTACTAATAGTAGCAGTCATCGTAAATAAATAAAATAAATAAAGTTAAGTAAAAATGAAGATGGAGTAAAGTGAGAACTGGAGATACTCTTTTGAGGTGGGTTACCTCTTTTATAGGGCAAATGCCAGAAATCCTTCCTCTTATGCCCAAATTCTCCTTACCCACAGAAGTGTTAGGGTACACTCACCCCATAGGCTAATATGTATGAGCATATTCATAACAGGTATGTACGCACATTAGTCTCTTGTGGTGTACTTGTTAAGTCTGTGGGTACAACATTTAAAAAAAAACCTATGCCATTCTTCATTGTTTATTAGTTTAAATAAACATAGGCGTGGGTACTTATCTATTTAGGTAACAAAATATAGTTTAACTTTGCTTTCTAAGTAAAAGATTTTAATATAAATATGCTAACTTTGCCTTAGCTTAACATACAGAATATGGCCTGTAGGTTCTTGCATTACAGCCAAGCTTACTTTAATATAAATTTATAAACCTATTACAATAAACCAAATACTTAAACTATAAAAATATATACACACAAGCAAGCAGGTTAGTCCTATAGGCTACAGTAATTGCTGGGGTAACGTCTGGAGCCCTTTTAAAAAATTGGCATCATATTAGCTATACTCCAGTCATTTTGCTACAGAAGCTGATTTAAATGATAGGTTACAGACTACAGTTAGTAGTTCTGCAGTTTCACGTTTGAGTTCCTTCAGAACACTTGGGTGAAATACTGTCTGGTCCTGGTGACTTATTACTATTTAGTACACTGGTATGCTGTTTCTCTGGGAACAGAGGATCTGGTATTTCTGTGAGTGGTCAGTGGTCAGGGGCTGGATACCACAGGGTGACACTTTGAAGGGACACAAGGCCTGGGGTGCATCTGTTGTGAAACTGCAGGGCAAAGGAAGGGCTAATATAGGCCATTATAATATAGCTATAATGACGGGCTGTTTGTGTTAGAAAGCTGACACCCAGTTAAGCACAGGCAAGACTCCTTCGTGCTGGCAGCAGATGGTAACAAGGTGACTCATAGCTCTGGGTGAGTCGAGAAGCGTCACAACGTATTCCCATTGGTCTCAACAAGACTACTTGCATGCATGTGGATTGCTCAAATGAGTAAGGTTTTGCAGGATGGGGCCCTTATTTAAATGGAATTGTAAATGATTTGTTTGACATTACTAAATGTGCATGCCCTAAAAGAAAGGAATTCAAATATGAGACCACAAAGTGCTATATGAAGGCACCCTTTCAGCAAATTCATAACAAAAGGTGATGTAGAGTATAGAAAACTATTTTATATTTTTGTTTAAACAAAATCCAGTGTTTTACCAGCTCGTTTTTAACAGCTTGTCAGTAAAAATAAATTTAAAAACACCTCGAAATAATGAAAAAACATTTGCAGGTGAACTACAAAGTTTAAAATATTTGTTTATAATCTCCAAGTATTAAAAGGATATGTGTGGTTGTATTTTCTCCACCTCACTTCTGTGTATCTGTTATGTTTTTAATAGGTGGAAGCCTCCCATATCTCCTTTGATAGCACTGTGCACATTTTTAATAGCAGAGAAATATGCTGGTGAGCAATCTGTGTGGAAGCCTTATCTTGATGTTTTACCAAAGACCTATACGTGCCCTGTTTGTTTGGATCAAGAAGTAGTGAGACTTCTTCCTGAGCCCTTAAGAAGGAAGGCTCAGGAGCAAAGAACAGTGGTCCAGGAACTGTATACCTCTTCCAAGTCTTTTTTCTCTTCTCTGCAGTCTTTGTTTACTGAGAATGTAGAAACTGTTTTTAACTACGATGCCCTGCAGTGGGCTTGGTGTACCATTAATACTAGAACAGTGTACATGAAGCATTCACAGAGGGAATGTTTCTCTAGAGAACCAGATGTTTATGCACTAGTGCCTTATTTAGATCTGCTAAACCACAGTCCAAATGTTCAGGTAAGAAGCTGGAAAAACATAACCATAGTTTTTACGATGTACAATGCACAGACTTTGTGCAGAATCCACATTCTTGTCCTGTTGAATTAGGAACACGGCATCCCACTGAAGGGTCATGATTGGTGTGTGTATAGTGTATTGTTTGTAGGACAGCTATAGGCTCAGTAGATATGCCACTAAAACTTATCATGTAACCCAGCGTGAATTAACAAATAGAATTGATTTTATGAATCAAGTGGCAAAATAAGGATGGGGAAAGGATTCAGCGCCTCTGCCCACCCCCAGTACCCTGGTATGATGAGGTGTAGCAACCCCACACTCAGCCTGAAGGGATTAATGAAAGCCTGTGGGCACAATCCGCCTCACCCCACTACACCTGCAGTATGTGTCAGACCTGAAGGAGAAGTTAAAAGGGCTGGAAGGAGAGCAGATTTCTGGCTCTCACTCAGTGAGAGAAGCCTGGCTGGAGTCAGAGAGCTGAGTAGGGTTGCTGGCAGACAAAGCCTCTCTGAAGGAAGGCACCTCTGCAATGGGGAAACTTAGGCAGTTGAGAAAGAAAGTGGCAGGAGGTGAGTCCACCCAGGTTTCTCCCCTGTGGTGGAGGGTCCTTCAAGGAGCAGGAAGACTCCTGCTGAGTCAGAGACTGCCCTGCCAGGGGAATGGAGGAAAACCCCTCTGCAGCAGACCCAGCTGGGTAGCGGAAAGTGCTAAGAAGCCCTGCAGTGACCCTTTGGGAAGCGGCTTAGAGTGGAGCTGATATGCTGGGAACCTGGGAAGAGGCTGAGATAAAGGGCCAAGACAGGATAAGGTAAGAAGTGGCCCAGGAGACAGCCAGGGCCTTGACTGTGTAATGAGGGTCCTTGGTCTGGACCAAATGGAGTGGGAGGGCCTGAATTCTCCCAGCTTACCAAGGAAGAGGGGGTGCCCCCCTCTCTCCCCAAAGAGTAAGAACTGCTGAACTCCCCTGATACTAGAGATGAGGACTGGTGAGTCTGGACTCAGACCAACTGTCCAACATGAAGTCGAAGGACCACAAGCTGGTTTACCCTGGGAGGGGTGGGACGCTACATGAGCTGGAAGGAGGGGGGCTGAATGACATGAAGAAGCAGACCACAGTAGGGGTGGAATGGCTGTCAGCAGGGGGCGCTAAAGGAGGAAAGCCTTTACACCATGCCCCAGCCACTAGGGGGTGTGCCAGCCAATGAGTCACATGCTTATGCTTTTGGACCATGTGTCCAGAAATGGCTTGGGGAGAATTGTCCCCAGCAGAGGGCCCCTGTAAGCAGCTCTGTATTACCCCCTCACAAGGCACAGTGCAAGGGGCATGTGGTTTCTAGAGTGCCTGGTAGTAGGCTTCAAGCAGCCTATGGCAACCTCATCAGGGCTGCCTATGAAGTTGCTCTGATTTATGCCAGGGACCACACTGACTCACGTGACCGCACAGAGTCAGGGTAGCACAAAGGTGGCTTAAAGCTAGCTTTGTTCCCGCTTCCCCTTCTGTGCTCTGCCTCCTAGAGGCAGCACAGTCTTGAACCCAAGGATTTTTTGTTTGTTCTGTTTTAGTATTTTTAGAGAATTTTTCCTCTTTCTTCAGATAAGGTCCTAAGTGCAACAAAGATAACCCCCTTCAAAAATCACTTTACATATTTCATCATTGAGTCCTAGATGTTTATACCCTTTTGCCACAGTAAGGAAATATTACTGGTCTTTATCATTCTAGGTCTGATGGGTTTTTTCCCCTCACTGCCATAGAGGAAATGTCTTTTTAAAATTTCTCAAAGGTAAAAGCTGCATTTAATGAGCAGACAAGATGTTATGAAATCAGGACAGAGTCACATTGCAGAAGACATGAAGAACTGTTTATCTGTTACGGGCCTCATGATAACCAGCGACTTCTGCTAGAATATGGATTCGTTGCCATCAACAACCCACAGAGTGGGGTTTATGTCTCAGCAGGTTGGTAGCTTGATCTTCACATTAAAATATGAAATACTAGGGAGCCAGCCAGCTTTATCTCTTCATCTGGGTAAATATGGTAATTGAGGGGCAGTGAGGAAGCTTACATAGTTTCACTCTGCACTAGGCTGTCGCCATATATGATCAATTTAGGGTTTGTTGGGAGCATTAAAGTGAAATATAGGGTTGAGTTGGTTCCATTTTTGCCTTTTTGAACTACACCTAATAGGGATTTTTAACTAAAAGTGTGTGTGTGTGTGAAGTGGCCTTCATTTTTTTTGGAATTGCTCAGGTTTCATTTGTTACGCTATGAAACTTAGTTAGCTTTACTCTGAAAACTCTTACGTGTTTGGTTAACTTTAAGCACAGGAGTAGCAACACTAGCTTCAATGGGAGTGCTTATGCGAGTAAAATTTAGGCACGTGCTTAAGTGTTTGCAGGATTGTGGCTTTAGAGAATCATTTAAGGATGGAACTGGAAATGCTGGGAGATTTTTGCAAACTACTCTCTCTCAAGTGTGTGTGTGTGCGCGTGCATCTGTATCACACTAAATATTGATGGAGCCTTTTCATAGAGAGGATGCTCACATGTCTTGGAGGCCCCAATTCTGCTAAACTTAGTGTTAAGCATGTGCTTAAGTGCATTGCTGAACTAAGACCACAATAAGAGAAACCCATGCTATTAGGCAGCCCAGTCATTGTTATAGAAAATTAATAATTAAGTGGTGAAGACTTGGTTATGAGTTGGCCAACAAGCTGATTGGAGAGCCAAAAAATAGCTTGGGAAGTGGATTTTTTTTTAATGTTTGTTTTTTTTGTCAGTGGGGCTTGGTTGCTTATATAGGCATGTGAAGAGAGAGACAGCTGTTTGGAATTGAGTATGCAGTAGACAAGTTACATTTTTATTATAAAGCATTAAGGCTGTTTAAAGTCAGATTTGCAGCTTGTATAAATAAACTCCATTTACTTCAGTGGAGTTATGTTGATTTACCAGCTGAGCATCTGGCTCTTGGTGCTTTAGAACTGACTGTATGTCAAAAATTGTGTTAAAAGAACCTTATTAAGGTTGCCAGGTCAAGTACTCAAGAGTTAGGAAATGCCAGAATGAACTCATGCTCTGGGTTCAGTCCTGCAAGTTGCTAAGTGCTCTTCAGAGGGTTCTTCAACTCAAGGTAAAGTTCATTAAAGTTTTGACATTATCTGAGCTGGTCTTTGCGTACTGTTCAGTTGGAAGATTAATTATAGTTAAAATATAAGAAAATACAGTTCAAGTTTAGTTTGTTTTCAGTGTTAACTGTTTGCTTAAGGATCTTTAAATATGTGTTTTGCAGATATCCTTCTTAAACATATCTTTTCAGCAGACAAGCAGAGAAATATGAAGCTTTCCATTCTAAAGGCTCATAACTTGTTAGAGTAAGTATCTCTTTAAAACCCTGGTTTCCATTTGAGAAAATAGTTACAACAAAACTGAAATAAAAGTTCAGATGTCTTTTTTTTTTTTTTTTAAACTTGCCAAAAAATTGGTTTATAAAAATATAGGTATTCTGTTTAGCTCCTTGATAGTGGAAGAGAATTTAAGTGGATAAAAGACAATATGAAAGCTAAGGATCAGGGCTAGGGGTCAGCACAAGACAATCTGGACCGCCCTGTCCTAAGGCTGTGGGAAGCAGCAGAGCAAAGGAAGCTGGGGAGAATCCTTTCCCCCTAGATGTTACAGTGTAGTTCCCACGTGGACTATGAATTTGCTTCTCCTTAACTGTGTCCTAGGGTGGGAGGAGGCTGCCACTAGGCAGATGTTTTGTTGCCACAGTTACTGTTAGTGTGAAGATGACAAACTGTGTAATGAGCTCATGCTTTCTACCTTTTGGTAATTTTTGACACTTTTAGAAATTTGACGTTTGGAAGGGATGGGCCATCATGGAGACTCCTCACAGCTCTCAAGTTGTTATGTCTTGGAGCAGATGAATTGTAAGTTTCAAATACACTTACAGAAATGTGGTCATTTATTTAGAAAATAATGCCTCTCCTATCCCTCTAATCTGTGTCTTCTCACACTAAGTGAGGTGTAGAGATGGTAACATTGGATATACTTGTGTGATTATCTCGAACTTCAATAAGACTACTCACATGTGTAAGGCAAGAAGAATTTGGAACAATATATAATTTAAAAGTCGTTATCTGCTTGTTGCATATATGACAACTCGATTCAGTTAAACACCAAGCATTCTGTTGTTGTTCCCTTCCTACTCCAAGAACTGGATATTGCTTTAATGTTCAGTTTCTGTTTCTTACATTTGTCACTTTGATGGGTCCCATGAACTCAGACATCAGTTTGATTTCTCTGAAAAGTACATTTCAGGGACTACTGTTGAAATTTCAGGGCCAAGTTCATGCTGAAGTACAGAGGTTCAGCACTGATGTCACAAAATTGATTGTGCTTATTTCAGCAGTGAAATTGGTCTTCAAAATCTTGGCATTGTTTGCAGATAGGTACATGAGCGTTGTCAGTTATCAAATATGTTTTAAAATTAAAAGGAAAAATATTTACACTCATCTATGCTGTGAGGGTTTAGTCCTGGACAGAACATGTTAAAGTAACTGAAAGATATTGAGACCCATCTGTCTTCCATACCATGCAGTGTGTGTTCTGTGCTACTCAGTGGCTTAAACATGCACATCATTGTGGTATCTGAGTGCTGTGGGTCTATATTTTATTTTTGTGTGTGTGTGTGTGTGTGTGTGTGTGTGTGTGTGTGTGTGTGTGTGTTAACTTTGACTTAGTTATCTATCAGGGTTTTATTTATTTTGGGCTATAACTTCAGTTTAACTTCTGGCTGGGGAATGCAACAAATAATCGCTTGTCAAACGTATTTTTTGCTTTAGTACCTACTGGAAGAAAGTGCTGCTTGGTGATATAATTTCAGCCAGAAATGAAGAGAGGAGTTTGAACATAGCGGCAAAAATATGCTTTTCTTTAATAGAGGAGACACAGCACAGCCTTCACCAGGTAACTTGGCTAGAAGAATACAACGGGGCAGACGCCCCCAAGGGGCTTGTCTACATGGTGCTGTAGTCTGCAATAGAGGGCTGTAAATTTTAGTCCCCACTAGCATGTTGCGCACTGGCAGGCCCAGGGTGGACTCTGCTGGTGTGCACTAAAAGTTCCTGTGTATGTTAATGTACTGCTGTTTAAAACAGGACTACGTTAACACATGCTAGGGAGCTTTTAGTGTGCACCAACACAGATCAGTTTGCACCCCTCAAGTGCAGACTACAGTACTGCATAGACAACTTAGCATAAATTGGTAGTAACAACATTGACTTCAGTGATGTAAATGAGGGTAGCATCTGGCTCTGTGTGTTTCACAGGCAATAGTTTGACCTACAATTATCAGCTTATTTCTGGCGTTAGCTAAGTGCTTATTTTTGTGGGCAGGGTGCCTTTTATTTTTCTATTCAAAGTGTGCTTCAGGCATAATATACTCTAGATTTACACCAATATAACTGGGATCAGCTCCTGGTGCAGTAAGCGTACCTTAGTTTAGGATTTATCCTGCTTTGGGGGAGTTGGAAGGGACTGTCACTTTTTTGGGAATATCTTGGTATATATTACGCACATGGACCTTAAATCAATGGGATTATTTCCATTTAATTCAAGTGGGTTTTGGATTAGGAACTCTTGGTAAAGCATAAAAAGGTGGCATATGAAAAAAGCCCCTTGCTATTGACTGCACTAAAGTGATTCTGGATTTACACCAGCATAACTAAGATCAGAAAATGGCCCAACGGTTACAATGATTTTCTTTAAAACTGCATGCAGTCATCTTCTTGCAGTGGCAATAGGCTTTAACTCAGGAGCAGCGTAGTGGCCATCATATCCCTTTATCTGGTGTGGTGTACCTCATGGCTATCTGATGTGACGAGGGCAAACCAATTAGGTCTAGACAGTATTTGGTCCTGCCATGCGGGCAGGGGACTGGACTCGATGACCTCTCGAGGTCCCTTCCAGTCCTATAATCTATGATTCTATGAGGTGTACTTTTTATGAATTAAGTGAGAAAATAAATAAGCAAATACAAAGCTAGCTAATTTACTGCATTTCCCTAAAACAATGTGATCAACAGCGTCAATTGACCTCAATTGACATCAATAACCTGACAAGAAAATAGATTGAGAATCAGTCAAAAAAAAGAAAAAAAGACTGGGACTGACTGTTCAGCTTGGAAAAGAGATGACTAAGGGGGGATATGATTATGACTGGTGTGGAGAAAGTAAATCAGGAAGTGTTATTTAATCCTTCACATAACACAAGAACCAGGGTCACACAATGAAATTAAAAGCAGCAGATTTAAAACAAACATAAGGAAGTACTTCTTCACACAACGCACAGGCAACCCGTGGAACTCTTCGTCAGGGGATGTTGTGAAGGCCAAAATTATAACTGAATTAACAAAAGAACTAGATAAATTTCATGGAGGATAGGTCCATCAATGGCTATTAGTCAAGATGGTCAGGGATGCAACCCCATGGCTCTGGCTGGCAGAAGCTGGGATTGAACAATGGGACGCATCACACGATGATTGCCCTGTTCGGTTCATTCCCTTTGAAGCACCTGGCATTGTCAAAAGACAGGATGCTGGGCTAGCAGGACCATTGGTCTCACCTACTATGGCTGTTCTTATGTTCGACTGATCATATCATTGTAGGAACATGATCTGTAGTCAAATCGTTAAAACAATATAACAGAATGAATTCCCCCCCCCCCACACACACATCCTATCCCTGCCTTAGCCCTACAGGTATTAATACATCCTTGGAGAGCCAATCATTTAATGGCTTATTCAGGACCGGTCTACACTTAAAAATTAGATTGATGTCACTCAGGGCTGTGAAAAATGTTTGCATCTTGGGCAGCGTAATTAGGTCAACCTAATCTCTGGTGTACATGCGGCTAGGTCAGCGGAAGAATGCTGTTGTGCTAGCTACCACCTCTTGGAGAGGTCAGTTAACTACTTCTCAGAAAAAACCCTCCTGTTGCCGCAGGAAGTGTCTACAGTATGGTGCTACAGTGGTACAGCTGCGGTGCTGTGCCACTATTGCGTGGACGTGACTCCCACTCTCATCTCTCTACATTCAGTACAGTGGAATCAGCAGTTCAAGATTCCTCTCTCCAGCAGAGTGGTTTATGCTAACACCTCTACAGACCCAGGATGACCCCTTTTGATCTGCGGTAGGATTTGCTTAGAATTTAGGTTAGTCTGAGTCCAGTTATGGTTTTCTTATATGGATGTATCAGCATGTGATTCTATCTCTACTACTAATTCTCCCCCTTTGCTCCCCAACAAATGGTTAGGAAAAGTCTTAGTTGCAGGCATCCCCGCAGTTATCTTAGAAAATAATTCAAAAGAGAAAAATACTTAAAGGATCTACTCTTCAGCTTGCTTACTCCGTGAAGCTTCAGAGTCAGTCAGGAACTGCAGTTTGGGGAACCAGATGATGTCTTTTGGCTCAGATATCTTAAGATAGCATGTGTCATCCTCTGGTCAGCTGGCTGGTCTATGAGAATCTCTCTCCTCTTTCCTGGGGACTGGCCCAGGGAAAGTAGGGTATTAGCCATCTGGGTGTCTTTGTGGTGACCCATGAAGCAGCACACGTGGCTTTTTAAGGTTGGCAATGCCTCATAGTACCTCCTAGAGATTTTTTTCGAGCAAATGGGAGATCACAGGTTCCATATCTCTTGTAGTAGGAAGAGAACTTGAGACATAAGCCCTTGTATTAGAGGCCTGGTGTGGGGCGGGACCTGCTTACAGAATCTGGCAAGAACAGGGCTAATATTGCAAAAATACATATTTCAAAGAAGTGCTAAGCACAGAGTACTTACGCAAACACATCCTGATATCAAGTGGTACCAGAATATTCTGATATCAAGGATGGTACAAAAACATTCCCCAAGAATAACAGCAACACACTGACCCCTTCTAAAAGATAAGGTCAGTATGTAATAGAGATGTATTGATTGAACCAACACGTACAAGGTGATGGGTGATAACTAGCCACATCAGGGGGCAGTAACTAACTATGGGGCAGTACTAACTTGTTTGTATCAGGGTATAAAGATGTATCTCAGAGGGAATATCTTTGTCTGGCCTAGGGAGGAATGGAATGTTCCTCTGTTCACTGAGCTGCCCATTGTTACGGGCATACATGCATTAGTAGTCTGGTAGAGTCTACGGGATACTAGTACTGTGTTTTGTCGACAATAAATCTGGCCTGATGCCTTCATACCTTAACGGGTCTTGTGGTCATTGGGCGGTTCATTCGAGGTCTGCTATGCCAGCTGTCTGCACAGAGCTGGGGCAGCACACAGAAAACACACACACATACGCAGCCGGACATCTAACCACACTGGTGACCCCAACTACTGCGTTGTCCAGTCCTTGTTGAGGATGGTCAGGCTTAATCTTTGGTTCGCTTTTGGGGCCTTCCTTCCTTCCTGCGAGCAGTGTTATCACCACATCTATCTTAAACTACAAGTCCACGTACTCCCTCCCCCTCCTCCCTCCTCCCCCCCCCCCCAAAAAAAAAACCTTATCTGGGTTAACAGTCAGTGTGTCACAGAGGTTCTCAGGCAGTTAGGGCCCAGCCACTTCCCTGGATATGACTGGTAGCCCATTGCTGTTTGACTGATAACATTGTCAGTGCCCAGACTTATTCATATAACTCATGCACGCACTTCCTTAGTGTTGCTTAGGGCCTCACAACACACAGAAAGAAATGACCAAACTTTCACCCTGTGGCTAGACTGGGCGAATGTAAGGGTGTCTTGCACTACCAATGTCCTATTGACAAAGCTGCTTTTGAACTCTTGTTAATATAAACGTCATTTAAAAATACAACAGATCAAAATACCTACTCAGTGTCTACACTACTATAGACTTATGTGCCATGTATAATTGCCTACAGTAAAATAAAATGACTACCTGTGAGTTTATTTTAGCCACCCCTGAGAACAAAACGCACCTCTGTTAAGAATATTCTAATGGAAAATAGTTATAAAAATACATCCTCAGCAAAGAAAACATGTATGCACACCGTTCAAGCAGCTCATGGCCCTCAGAGCCTAGGTACAGCTTCTTTAGGCCTGAACCGCTGAACTGGAGGAGCAGAGACAGAATTGTTTATAGACATGGCATATAGGGACATTGTAGAGCAAGCCCGCCTCAGAACTGACTTCCCTGATCTTCCAGTTGAGGAAGCCAATCTTCTGATGGAAGGGCACGTAGGTGAAATGGAAGGACACACCTTCTTAGATGGGATTTCCTTCCCACTGCGATAGTGGAGATGAACAATTCCTCAGGCACCAAAGAGGTTGCTTCAGGGGATGGAATTACAGGCAGAGGTACGGGATTAGATCAGGAATAGACAGGTATGTGGTTACTGAGAGAACAGCATGGTGACTTGCCTGCCAGTTGCAAAGGTGGTGGATATTACAAGACTCTAGATGGACTTCTGGTGAATGCTGGGGAGGAGCCTATGATGGTGGTACATGTTGGTACTGATGACATAGGGAGCCATAGGAGAGAAGTCCTGAAAGCTAAATTTAGACTGCTAGGTAGAAGGCTTAGGTCCAGATCTGGGGGAGAGGAGCATTCCCTGAAGTCCTTCCAATCTCAGTGTGTGGTTGAGAAAATGGTGTATAGAAAAGGGGTTTTAGCCTAGGTTCTGGGGAACATTTTTGGGAAGGGGGAACCTGTACAGAGGGGATGCAAGAATTTTAAAAACAAAAACAGTGAACTAGAGCCTGGCAATGGAAGAGGACCTTGATGTAGTAGGTAATATAGAAATGTGATGGAATGATTAAAAACCAATGGGATATGGTAATACCTGTTACAAACTATACAGGAAAGACAGACTAGGCTGAAGAAGTGGGGGAATAGCGCTGTATATAAAGGATTCCATTGAATCTTGCTAGAAAAAATTTAAGAGGGGAGAGGACTACACAGTTGAATCTATATGGATACAAATTCCAAATGGTAAGAATGTAAATGTATTAGTAGGACTATGCTACTGTCCTCGAGATCAGGAAAAGGAAACGGAATAGACAATGTTGGGAGAAATCCGAGGCAGACAAGTGTAACGAAATGATGACAGTGGGAAATTTCAGTTATATAAGTTCAGGTATTAACTGTTCAAAAGGCACAATGGGATCGTGTTGAGTACTTGTGTCAAAACTTTGATCCATTAAGTGTTTGCTTCTTATAACAGTCAGTTCTAGAGGCTGTTCTTGACTTTGTCTTAACTCAAGCATGGGAGCTAATTCGTGAAGTAGCTAGCTGAGTCCATTATTGAAGCTGATTGTGGTGTCCAGAAAGCTGATGCTGGTGTGGCTGTGTTTTAGAGAGCGTTTGATGGATGCGGGGTGGTTATTGAAGTTGTGGTGGAAATTTATGAGTAGCTGAGTAGTATTAGTGACTACAATATAACTAGGCTCACAATCTCTGACCTACTGTAGGGGGCAGATTGCTGAACATCTGCTTACTGTCTGTAGGGTTCTTCTGAACCTTCTGGTGCTGGCCACTGGTGCGGACAGGATACTGGACTAGATGGACTTTGAGTCTCATCCAGTCTGGCAATTCCTACGTTCCTGTGAACACTGGGCTACTCACGAGGAGCCTGACATTTTCTTAATGTTGACTTTAGTCTATATTTTCTGTCTGTGTTGTGGATTTTGAATAAACGCTTTTTCATTTTGCCACTAATTCTGTTTTCTTGATAAGTCATAACATGTAACTAGTACACATTTTGATGCCACTTACCTCTGGCACAAATTAATTTGTCGCAAATGTCTGTTTATGGGCTACATCTATTTTTATTACTGAGTTTAAATATCCTCTTGGTTTTTATACACTTCAGATTTCCCAAATGAAAAAGGACAAGGTGAACCTTGAAAACCAGCTGGCTTTGGTAGAAGTACTGCGCCTGGAAGATCTGACGATCCTGCAAACATCAGCAGAAATTCTGTACAACTTGCACCCTGCAATAACTTGACCTGTTCAGAAAGCAGACCCTGACTGTCACAGCACAGTGGCTTTCACTTACCAGGAGCTAGAGGCCTGCTTGACCCAAACATTTTTGATGACCAGTAGCATCAAGGAATAATGTAAAATTATGGTGGAAAAGCTGTCCAGTTTCATTTATGGGTGTTGACATCAGCCATAGGGACATACTCTGTGCCGCTTCTCCTGAGAGGCGCAGCCTAGAAAATGCAGCGGGCAAGAGTGGCTTTGTCACCTTTGTCATCTAGATTCTGGGCTGCTGTGGGGACCAAAACAGCTGGAATAATTAGAGCAGTTCCAGGGGCTGATGGAACTTCATCTACCTGGGGACTGGACTATAGTCCAGAATTTCCATAGTGCCAAGCAGCTACTCCCTGGTATGTCCCTACTTTTGTGGCTTACATGGGAAGGCAGTGCAGAGCTACTTGCCTCACCCTATGTTATTTGTGTGCGAGGGCCATCCTCTGCTGACCCTTTTGTATCTCATTTATGGTCCCTGGACTTTGCTGGGATGATTATATAAGGTCTGGAGCACAGGCCATGTCAGCCCCACAATGACTCAAAAACATTCATCCAATGCCCAACCCAAATGCATGTATAGTACACTGATGCTGGAGGCTCGGGTGGTGGCCGTCATGCAGAAGTGTAGATTTCCCTCCCCCCATTTAAAAAAACTCCTCCAGATTGTTGCCAGCCTATGTGATTATTGCTCCTCCTCTGAACAACAAACAGATGTGCTTGAGTTTATTTTGAGCTGTGGTGTTGTAATAGTTTGCATGTTGGCTATTCAGGAAATCCACTCTGATGCATTCTACCAGTCCCGATTGTCACATGGAGAAATTTCCCTCTCCTGTCCCCTTTTTGCCTTTCCTGATCGATCTGGCTGGACTTCATAGTTGTCGGAGGGTTAGGGTAACTATTGACATTAGGGCCGTACCTGTGTGAATGGTCTTGTATCTTATTATTTTTTTGTGTGCTTTCCTGCAGGCCCTCGGTCTCTCACTTTTGTGTTTTCTAGTATGGATCTGCTGCATGTCAACAATTTACTAATACCCTAGTAGCTTTGGAAAAGCTAATGTGGGATAAAGTCTTGGTCAAGGGAGATATGTGAGGTGATGGGCAAAGCTTGAAGAGGAAAGGAAAGAGGATATCTTGGGTTCCACGGCTATGGGATCGGTATAAGGACATAGATAAATGGCTACAAAGTCAGTTGAAAACTGTCATGTGCACAGGGCCTGTATAATTTGGGAGTTGGCTGACTCACAGAGTTAGAGGCAAAAAGGGACACTTTGAGCATTTAGTCTGACCTACTGTATATCACCGGCCTCTAAATTTCACCTAGTTACCCCTGTATTTAGCCTAATAACTTGTTTGACTAAAGCCTATCTTCCACTTTGGCATCCAGTCTTGACTTGAAAACAGTAGAGATGGAGAATCCACCCATGGTTCCAGTGGTTAACCACAGTCACTGCTAGAGATTTGTGCCTTATTTCCAAGTTGAATTTGTCTGGCTTCTGCTTCAAGCCATTGGTTCTTGCTATGCCTTTCTCTTCTAGTTTAAAGACCCTATTAGTACCCAGTCTTTTCTCCCCATGAAAGAACTTGTGCATTGTAATCAAGTCACCTCTCAATCTTTTTTGATAAGCTTAACAGATTGAGCTCTCATTGTATCTCATTGTGAGGCATTTTCTCCAGCCCTTGAATCATTTTTTGGGGGGCTCTTTTCTACACCCTCTCCAAATTTTCTACATTGTTTTTTAAATTGTGGATACCAGAACTGTAGGGGCAGAATTCTAGTATCAGTCTCACCAATGCTGTGTACAGAGGTAATATCTTCCCCTTATTCCTACTAGTAACTTTGCATTTGTCTGTATTAAAATGCATTTTGTTTGAATGGGGCCAACTTTACCAAGCAATCCAGATAACTTTGCATGACTGCCCTATCCTCATTATTATTTATCACTATGACAATCTTTTTGTGTCATGTGCAAATTTTATCAGCAGTGATTTTTTTTATATTTACTTCCAGATCATTGATGAAAATATTGACTGCTACTAGTCCCAGCGCTAATCTCTGCAAAACCCCACTAGAAACACTGCCTGAAAGATTGCCTCTCAAAGAATATGTCTGTGGCCTGTGGAGTACAGGCACTACACGTGTAGCTACATGCTGCAGTGAAAGGCAAGCTGTATATACACCTGTTGCTGTGGGGTAGAGCTACAGGCTGCAGTGAAAGTCTCCAGCAGCAGGGAGTGGGAAAAGGCTCTGGCAGTGGAGAAGCCGCTGGAATCTCCCTGGTGCTTGAGCCTCTCGCTGTGTAGGAAAAAGACTCGAACACTGTTAAAAATAGCAGCATAGATGTGGGTGTGTAGAGAGCCTGTGTTGGGTGTACACACCGTGTGGTTCAAGTGTGTAGGATACTCTACTCGCCTAAGCAGTTCCTCCTCATTTACACTGCTGTTTATATGTGTGCTAGCGGGGCATGCAGTGTCTCTACGTTTATGGCAGCATGTAGACATACCTTAAGTGTTACACCACCACACTTCAGATCAACAGAGGTACCAGAGCTAGAGTTCTTTCATTTTAAATAGGAGGACATTCTCTTAGAAGGTCTCTCTCCTCTATAATTTGCTTCCGTCCCCCCCCCAACCACACTTGGTCCACCAACACCTGAATTTATTAACCTTTCCATCATGCTTCAAGACTCTTCTCTTCACCTGAACATTTGGAAAGATGGGTTGAGGGAGAATTTTATTTTTGTCAGATAATTACTGAAATGGGATGAACGGTCTAGATGATGATGATGTAAATAAAAGAGACTATCTGGGAAGGGAGTTGATTGCTATTTTATTGCCCTTTTTTTTGTACCCAATTGCTCTTGGCCTGTTATGTTATGGGAGCTTGTGGCCTCACACTGCATTTTGTAAGGAAGTCTTACTATAATGTTAGTCATATGTAAAATGAACTATGGTATAAAAAATAACATAAGGCTCTGTTTTTATTGTGTGTTTGAACAGCTCCTAGCACACCTAATAGGAGCCTGGGCCATGACTAGGGCTCCTAGATGTTACAGTAATACTAATAATAAGGTAATAACAAAACTGAACGTACGTATATTTTAGTTACATCAGAAAAGCCCATCTATTAAACACTTTTAAAATAACGTAATCTCTTTGAAGTGGTGTCAAGAGTCACTACAAATCACTCCCTGCATTTTACACTCTCAGTTGTAGCGTGGTGTAACATGTCCTAGGGGCCCTTACAGCAGCTGGGGAAGGGCCAGAGTGTAGCGAGCTCCAGCCATGCTTGTCCCTGCTCTGACAAGCCCACCGTCCCTGGAGTGTTGAGAAGGGGTGGTGTGAAGCAGGGTATGCTAAGATTCTCCTAGGCCAGGGAAATTCTCAATAGCTCATGTAGATCCTTTTTGTAACACAGAGACGGTTCAAAGGGAACTTTGGTGCTGAGGAGTTGTGACTAATGCCAGGAACTGATTATCTGCTTAGTTTCATTTAATAAAATTATCCCTAGAGAACATAGGATGTGACCCTGAGTTGCTATCAATCTGCATATTTCTATGTAGTTAATGGAACTAGGCTAATGTAGACCAGCTGAAGATCTGGCCTTGAGTATGTTGAATAGTTAATAGCAGTGTTTTACAGAGTTGGACACAGAGGGGTTTAGAGATTATTTTGAGGTGATATGGGGCTGTAATTAAGACTGCTGTGCTTAGAGCAATTTCCATTTCTGTAGGTATGATAGGTGGCCTTGGACTTGCAGGAAAACACTACAGTTTGACAGTGGACTAATGTCAAAGGCAAAATCCTGCCCCACCCTAAACTATGAAGTCACTATCCGTGCGTGTGTACTACACTTCAACGTCAGCTTTGCTGAATTGCACCCTTAGGCACATGTGTAAGACTTCAATAGGGCTTAAGTGGTTTGCTGAATCAGAGCCTAAAATACATCTGAGCTAAGGCATCCTAAGATGGTTTACCTAACCACCTTTGCACATTCTTAGCTTCTCTAGCTCTCATTCTAGAAGCTTAAAAGGACTCTTGTTATCTTAGTAGTTTAGTTTTAGTAACTTGCTGTTAGTTAACATTTGCCTCAAAGAGTTTAATCAGTCTGTCATTTAAGTGTAGTTCTACTGTGAAAAGAGACACTGTAAAAATAGCCCATTCTCATTCATTCCACAGATCTACTCCTTGTGGGTGTTCAAGGCAGATCTGCAAACTTTAGAACCACTACTATGTTTTTACCAATATAGATTTGGGGGAAGCGAGCTATATTTTATTCGGACTTGCTTAGCATCAGCAGAACCGTTAAAGTCCAAAATACAGAGCTACATTCTGCCTTCAGTTATGCTTGTGCAACTACAGAGAAGACAATAGGTCTACATAGGTGTAAGAGCAGCAGGAGCAGAATCTTCATTGCTAGTGGCAATACATAAGACAAGAAATAACCCAGCTTGACTCTCACATCCTAAGGTGCAGAGCTGGCATTTGGGGGAGGGGGAGGTTTTTTTTGTCAGCTGAACAAATGAAATCTGGAGTCACTGAAAAATTATAAACACAGCAGCCTATAATGCCATCTAACCTGAGTCATTTTTTAGAATAGAACCTCACTTTACAGTGAACATCCTATGGATTTTCTTTGATCTCTTCTGGTGAGTGGCTTCTAGTTTTCATATTTCTTCAGCAATAGGGTGGAGAGCATTCATAATTTCTTAGTGTTTTTAGACCTAACTGATCAGAACAAGGTAAGATAGCATCAGCTCTCAAGCCCTGTTAATTAAAGCTTTAAGTACACTATGAAAACATTTCAAAAATGACACTCCCTAAGGAAGAGATCTTTAAGTGATGTCTCTAAGGATACATTGCCCCTATAAGGTTGAACATTCCCTGCAAATATAAAATCTTTTTGAAGAAGGTCCTTGGGAATTATCTGAAGTGATTACAAGCACACAGTGCATCTATAATTATAGATGAACATAATAAACAGAATGCTGGGAAAGGTTTGCAATAAAATCTGCCTGGTTTGTTTAATTACACAGTACACTTGGACTAAGTTTGCTGAACACTTTGCAACCTACCCTTGTGTTCATTTTTGCAGCAAAATCATGTGGAATTCATAGTGTGTCATCATTTCCACATGAAACCAAGAGAATCTTGGCATTTGTGACTGATTTTAGTCATATCTAAAACCCAAACTGAGATGATATGAATTCACACAGACTGAAATGGAAATAAATCATCACATAATTCCCATGAGTTTTATATTTTAATATTCTTTAGGCTGTCTAAAACCCTGCAATGAAGTTCTATATTATTAGCCATTTGTATTCTATATTGCTATAACGCCTCGGATCCCCAGTCACAGACCAGGATCCCATTGTGCTAGGTGCTGCACACAGAACAAAGATACAGACCCTACCCCAAGGACATTACAATCTGCGTATAGAAAATGAGCTGACAGCTAGATACAGGCAGATGAGGGAATACAAGGAAATTGAGGCAATACTGTGCAAATAGACAACATAGTCATGGTGGGGGAAGGGGTAGAACACACAAGCAGAGTGAACAGTGTGATGGCAGCAAATGGCATATGTTAGTTCCATAAGTTTTTGGAGAGAGATGGGTTGGTGGATTTACTTTGGAGGGGATCAGCCAAATGGACAGAGAAAGGAAGGAGAGAATACAAGGGGTAGGTGTTGGGAGGTGGAGGTGAAGAGACCTGCAGAGGGAAGGGGAGGATTAGAGTGAACAGCCAATCAGCACAGGACACAAAATCAAAGAGCATTCTCATTTTGACTGGAATGCCCAGAAATTCCTACTTTGCCATTAGTCATAATATACCAGTAAGCAAAGAATTAATGTGAAACACAGTCTCTCAATTATTGTTTCTGCTAATCACACAATGTGCTAAGTTCAGAACAAACACAAAGGTGTTCAAAAACACAATACTGATCGAACTGCATGAAATTAGTGTAATTTCTGTAGATGTCCACTAGATGATGCAAATGTACTGCAGAAAGATAGGAAACTACATTATAGCAAGAAATAATTATATTTGCTGTATTTTATATTTCAATATTAGGGAGAGAGTAGCATTTTTTCAGTGGGCCATGGTTATTATTTGATTTCCATAGTTAAGAAAAATATCCATTTGTTGAATATCTATTTAGCTTTTAGGATCAAGTTACAAAACTTATATTCTAGTCTGCTGCAATGTTGGTTCCAGGATACTAGAGAGACATGTGCGAGGTACACAGAAGAATCTTGTCTCTTCCACCAATAGAAGTTGTCACCTCAACCACCTTGTCATTTTAGTCCTCTGCATTTAGGACAAGAAAGAAGCAAAATCTCTTGAAGGAACTTTATCCCTTATTCGGCATGCTTCCATCTTTTTTCTGTTTTATCTATCTTTTTTGTAGTAGCCTCCCCAAATTTAGAGCAGATCTGAAACTCCATTCCAAGACACAGACCTTGGGTGAATTCTGGTCTCATGCTATTCTGGTTCAACCCCATTGACTGAGGTCTGGTCTACACTATAGAATTCGCTTGACACAAGGCAGCAAAAGTTGACCTAACTGTGTCTACACTAAAATTTCACTTCTGCCAACGTAATTGCCCTGCTACGATAATAACTCCACCTCCACGAGAGGTATTGAGTCAATGTCGATGTAGTTAGATCGATACAATGTCAGTGTAGATTAGGGAGACCAGATGTCCCGATTTTATAGGGACAGTCCTGATTTTTGGGTCTTTTTCTTAGATAGGCTCCTATTACCCCCCACCCTCTGTCCCGATTTTTCACATTTGCTATCTGGTCACCCTAGTGTAGACGCTGTTGCTTACATTGACTTTCAGAAGGCATCCCAGAATGCCTCACACTGACAGTATAATCGGGACAAGTGCTCCTGGTGAGGCTGTACACTGCTGACACGAGTGTAGTGTGGACACACAAAAGTGATTTAATTATTGCAGTGGCTGTATGCTGACCTGACTGAGGGTGCCATAATTTTGTAGTATAGACATGCCCTTAGTGAGGTTGCCCTGGTGTAATTGAGTACTGTCCACTTTTCTTTTTCACAGATTCGGGTCCTGAATTCTCCTCTCATTTACATTGATGTAGCTCCACTGTCACTGGGATTACTCCATATTTCAGGGTGTATCTGAGAGCAGTTCTGGGGCCTCTGTCTGGTTGCAGAGATTCAGTTTCTTTTCTCCCTCTTAAAAAAGACAGGCAAAAGTCCATCTGTGCATTTTGAGTCTGATCCTCAGGAGCGCTGAGTGGCCACAACTCTGTTGCAACCAATGGGAATTGCAGGTGCTATGCAGCCCTCAGGGTCTGACCCCTTGTTCCTGCACTGGCTGGCCCTCCCTCCTCCGGATAGTTACACAGCTGCATATACTTGGCAGCTACCCTGACTGGCAGAGCAGATGCTGTGCCTGAACTGAACCCTAGGAAAGTGACTATGTCTCTCTCCCAAGCTTTTGCTGGCACGAGCAGTGGGAGTCCTAGGAGTGGACTCTGTCTTCCTACATCAGTTTTTACATTGGTGTAACTCCATTGACTTCATTGGGGTTACTTCTGACTTATGTTGAAAAGGGGATTAGGCCCCTAATGTCTGTTTTATGGCTGTGTCTACACTTAAACCTATACAGCTGTGCCGCTGTGTTGCTTCAGTGTAGACAATGCAGCAATGGGAGGGGTTCTCCTGTCTCTGTAGTTAATCCACTTCTCTGAGTGGCAGTAGCTAGGTCAACAGAAGAATTCTTCTGTGCCAGCCTCTCATGTCACCTACAGCTATGCTCCATTTTTAGTGCACTACCTCAATCAGAGCTAGCACAGGTATGTCTCCTCAAACTGGGAATTATACCTCCAGCTCAAAGTGTAGCCGTACCATTAGATAGAGAGAGAAGTGCAGTGCCACAAACACTGCATCTTTTGGTCTGCAAAATGCCAAAGAAAGTTCGAATAAAACTGTTTTAATCATTGTTAAAATCAAAATGCTGAAAACCCACTGCGACACTAGCAGGCCAACTGCCAGTTCTTGCCAAGGCTGCAGGCATTAGGTAAGAACTGACAAACTCATAGCTGGAGACCTGACCAGTTTACTTATGTGTTAGTTTTGCTCAAAATAGGTATTAGTTTTACAAGAATGTATGTAGTGTTCAGACTCCACAGAGTGTTTGTAAATTGCTGCATGCATTAATCTTATTTGTAATGTCTGTATTCCATGCTATAAGGAAATATGTAACTTTTGCTTTATAACTTTGAGTTCACAAGTTTAAAGCAAACATTTTCAGATGGGAAGAGTGTTTCTCCCCAGCCATCCCGAAAAACTATCAAAATCAGATGGACCATCAAAGAACATCACAATACAAAGGATTGGTGAATGGCCCTATTGCACCTTGGACATTATATGTGCAAGGAAGCTTGTCCTATGGACTTGGAGGCTGGATCTAGGAAATAAAACAAAGATACAGGAAATTTTTCCATCTCTTTGCTGTTTGAACTCTCACAGGAACAGAGATGCTACACTGAGGCCAAGATCCCCAGAGTTTATACCCTGGGTCTGCCCTGAAAGACATCTTGAACTGACAGATTATCACATCTCTGTCATCTTTAGGAACCATAGAGGGTAACTCATTTGTGTGTATATATTTGCTTGCTATAACCTGTATCTAACTCTCATTTCTTTTTTCTAGTTAATAAACCTTTAGATAGTTTATTACAGGATTGGCTACAGGCATTGTCTTTGGTGTAAGAGCTAGGGTACCAACTGATCTGGGGTAAGTGACTGGTCTCTTGGGACTGGAAGCAGCCTGAATATTTTGTGATTTTTGGTATAAGTGACCATTTATCATTAAGTCCAGCTTGCCTGGGTGGCAAGATATACTGGAGAGTCTAAGGGAACTGTCTATGACTCCATGGTAAGACTGTTATAGTGATCCAGGAGTTCACATTTGTTACTGAGTTGGTGAAATCTAATTGTAGAACACAGTCTGCCTTGAGGGAGGCACTCATGGTCGTGAGCCACTCCAGACAGTGTGACACTCACCTCCCATCAATTCATGCTCCTTGAATGCTTTTAACCTATCCTTAAGGGTTCCCATGAGTGACAAACATTTTAAAGCAAATGCCAATATACTATAGTTGTTACCAGTTGCAGGTTACAACTTGTATGACCATCAAGAGTCCGTGAGAGAAACGAATAATTTTCTCCTTTAGACCACTTACATTGTAAAGAATGATGTAGAAAAGAGGTATTAGCAGATCTCCCTTTGTTTATAACTAAAAAAGAAAATCTGGCTGCTTTAAAGGACATGAGAATGAGTTTTGTCTTCCTTTCCTATTACTGTCAAACAAACTTTACCTCAGCCCTGAATATCACATGGAATTTGTCACTGGCAGGAAGCATAAACTTTATCTTGTGAATATATAACTTACAGTCACTTCTTAAGAAGAAAAAAATCCTTTAATCATGTACAGTTTTCTTCACTGTTTTATTTCACTTAAAACATCACTCAGTGCCAAATGGTATTTGTCAGTAGTAATTGGCAAATGCTGGAGGCAGTTTTCAAGGCTGTCTGAATGGAAAATCTCAAGGCAGTTGTCTGCGTTGAAAGAAAATATTACATTTGATCTTTTTATGATTCTCACAGACGATGTATGTCTGCATTCTTTAGCTTGAAGAATTCTTGTACTTTTTAACTGACAGGAAGTAAAACTTAACTATTAATTGACAGTATTGTCTGAGAAATAACCACACTATACAATAATGTAATTTTTTTTAACTCTTCACAAAGATTCATTTTTATTAGCTATTTATTGTGGTTTTGCTTGTTGGCAAGTTGTAAGACTTTGAATGATGACCGTGTCTACTGCATTTAATCTACACTTGTATTTGGAAATATATTTCTTCCAATGTGTTTCCTCTGAGTAATGAGTCTCACTTAAAGATTGTCTTGCAGTAAATCACCTTTTCCTTAATGGAGTCATATAGATATATTATTGCTTTTCTCAGTTCTGCCTCAGTGCTTTCCAGTGCTAATGACAAAGGGTAGATAGCATGGTAGATTAACCCCACAGTATACATTCAGAGGGCTAGATCCTCTTTCGGGCTGACTTAAGCTCAGTGCATGGAGGGATGGTGGGAGTCTGGGTTCTAGAGCTCTGATTCTCAGAGCGAGGCCCAGTCTCAATACAGTTTAAAGCTGCTTTAAGTTGTGCCACTGGTGCCCCCTCTCCCTATCCCCTACACCAGGGGAGGAGGCATGAAAAGGCAGGGCCCAAACGGGGTTATTCTAAGCTGGATATTTGTGCCTGGATTGTGGCTCCTTTGAGTCACTCAAGTGGCACTCAAGTGGCACGAAGGGGCTATAAACTCAACTTGTTGACCTGGTCCAAAATGATTGATCAGTGTTGAAATATGAATGGAGTTCCACTAATGTTCTCAGCCATTTTAAATCATCATAATATTAAAATGTGTGGTAACTCTGCTTACTGTCCAGTGTCAGACAAGTCTGAGTAATCATTGTGAGTTGGGTGTTATGCACCATGAAATACCAATTACCTTTTTGCCTTTTATTTCCGTTTCCTTCCTTCTGCCAACTTCTGTGGTTGAGGATGTGGGAATGAGGTCCTAGCTTCCTACAGAGCCTGATAACCCCACTGCTGGCATTGGTCAGAAGAAGGGGGCTGCCGGTTGGTGGATCTTCCCATTTTAGAGAAAAACTTCAGTGCTGAGATTTGGGTCTGTGTGGTCAGGTAAGGCTTTAGCTAGGTCTCTCTCCTGTCACAGTCTCCTCCTCCGCTACTGATTGGAAACTCATGGACTAGGGGAATATTGCACTGATTTCAGCCAGCTATAGCAAAGATGGGCTTTCTGCAAAGTTCTCCGAAGAGCAGTATTGCCAACACCCAGGAGTCACAAGTCTTGAAGTTGGCTTGAAAATAATGAGATTTAAAACATTTAAAATAATAAATATGAGGATAGTTTTATTGGCTTCTTGTTTCTGAGTCATTGGGCTGCACTTAGTTCATATTACCTCTGCAAGCATCAGTACCAGAAACTTACTTCTAAAAAAAATAAATGAAAATGAGATTCTCATGTAATCACTTAACTCCAGAGCTGGGGCTTTAAGAAACATATTGCGAGACTTGCAATACAATTGTGGGAGTTGGTATCACTGAGACAGCTCTGCAGACTTACCTCAGTTATTATGACACATCAAATATTAAAATGTTGCTGGTCTCCTGAGAGAAAATTGCCAATTGTGTCAGTACATTTGCCATAATTATACTAAATCCCACTATTCAATTGAAAGATATGGTGAGAAACAATATTGCTAATGTTTGTTTGTTTGTTCTTTCTTCACACACACTCACAAGCAATGTGTAATCCCTAGGGAGGGAAGGGTGAGGTTATCTGGAAACAATGCTGTGTTTGTTTTGTTCTTTATAGAAAATTGGTTGACATGAGTAATTTAACACCTTTCTAAAGGGTTGAAGGTTTTGCCACTGACTCACTGTGTGACCAGGAGCCAAGACCTGTAGGTCAAAAATGTCTAAAAAAGCCTGCAGGCCTACAACTGGCAGTCTGGCCACTGCAAAAGATGCTT